TAAGATCTCCTGATTCCTCCTCCATTAGCCCACAGTGCCTGTTTTAACAGGACCAAGAAGTGTTATGATTGGGATTGATTTCAATAAGGAAGGCTTTCATCATGATGTTTCAGAGATGGGAAGAAAACCTTTACCAAAGCAGTGAGTGGTTATTTGTGAGAAAATTATAGGCAATAGCTTTTTTTTATTCTCCTAATTTTCAATAATGTGACTATATTATTTTTATTATTTTGTAAATTGTCACTTAGCTCTATATACTTTAACAAAATATGAATTAAAACATTTTTTAAAAAAATATATTTTATTGATTTTTTACAGAGAGGAAGGGAGAGGGGATAGAGAGTTAGAAACATCGATGAGAGAGAAACATTGATCAGCTACCTCCTGCACACCCCCTACTGGGGATGTGCCCGCAACCAAGGTACATGCCCTTGACTGGAATCGAACCTGGGACCCTTCAGTCCACAGGCCGATGCTCCATCCACTGAGCCAAACCGGCCAGGGCAAAACTTATTCTTTTTAATGCCTCGGAATAAGAATTATGATTGTTCTGTCCTGCAATAGAAAACTCCCATGTGCTTTAATGTGGGGTGGGAGGCTGTTTTTCCATAAAGAAATCGCCGTGTGCTGCTATACCTTTATTCTTTTTTTGAATATACTTTCACAAATTTCAGGATTCAGAAAGTACAGAGGAAAGTGTGTATGTGTAATCTCCCTCCGGCCAGCAAATTACTCCTTTCTTATGAATCCTTCCAAAGGTCATTTCTCATACCTGTGTTTACACAGAAATGGCAGTAGGCAGTATGGTACACAAACTGCTCTTGGGAGAGCTCTCCATTTAAATCAGTGGTTCTCAACCTCCCTAATGCCGCAACCCTTTAATACAGTTCCTCATGTTGTGGTGACCCCCAACCATAAAATTATTTTCGTTGCTACTTCATAACTGTAATTTTGCTACTGTTATGAGTCGTAATATAAATTTCTGATATGCAGGATGTATTTTCATTGTTACAAATTGAACATAATTAAAGCATAGTGATTAATCAAAAAAATATGTAATTATATATGTGTTTTCCGATGGTCTTAGGCGACCCCTGTGAAAGGGTCATTCGACCGCCAAAGGGGTTGCGACCCACAGGTTGAGAACCGCTGATTTAGATCATAAAACTCTTCACTGGGTTGTTTTTTTTTTATAGCCGCTCCATATTCCATCATGAATTTTACACACATAAATTTATCCAACCTGACTTTTTTTAATGGACATTAGGTTTTTCCCATCTTTTGCTGTTACAGATAGTGATTCAATGAATAGCTTTATGCATCCTCTTTTTTTTTCAAATATTTTATTGATTTTTTACAGAGAGGAAGGAAAAGGGATAGAGAGTTAGAAACATCAATGAGAGAGAAACATTGATCAGCTGCCTCCTGCACACCCCCTACTGGGGATGTACCCACAACCAAGGTACATGGCCTTGACCAGAATCGAACCTGGGACCCTTGAGTCGCAGGCTGATGCTCTATCCACTGAGCCAATCCGGTTAGGGCTATGCATCCTTTTGAATATAAGTTCTTTCATTTATGAGTGAGACTCCCTGCGGATAACTTCCTAGGTATCGGTATGTACATTTGTGAGTCTGATGGATATTGCCCTCAGTCAGGGCTCTGTGCTATACTTTTACCTTCTATCTTCTTGCAGGTGACTTTCTTCCCTGAGGACCAGGATGTCGGCTGTCACATCAGTCGTCACTGTGCTGTCCTTTCCCACTTTATTACCTCTAAATAAGTTGAATCACATAGATGCAGGGCTGTGGAAAAAGAACCCCCTCACAGATTGCAGCACAGTCCCAGATGTGAGTTCTTATAGCTTAAACCAGGGGTGGGGAACGTCCGGCCCGCGGACTGACTAAAGCTTATGAAATCATTTGGTCTGGCCCTGCCAAGGCAACCGCTTATTGAATTTTTATTTAAAATTCGATAAATCTAGGAGCTTTTTTCATAGCAACATAAGTTTATATTAAGTGAATTATATTAAGCGAATGATGTTATAAATATTCAAATGATCCTTGGCAGGAAAAGGTTTCCCACCCCTGGCTTAAACTATTTTGTTCTAAGGTAAAAGAGCTATGAAAAAATTTCATTTATGTTAGTAATAAACACTAAGTATTATTTAGTAAAATACTAATAGGTCAATGAACTGTTGACCCTGAAAAATTGTTTCTAATGTGAATGGAATGGGGTCATGGAAAGAATGCCAAGTAAAACCATTCATTTTTTTAAAAAGAAGGAGTCTCGGGTTCATCCATCTGCACTTGCGAGCTGAGTTTTCGCTCTGACTTTTCACAAATTTGGTTGGCAAGAAGTAGGACAGTAGCTTTTAGGTGAAATATATTCGGCATCCACATATAACTCATGCAGTATTTATATTAACAAGAAAGAAACTCCGTCACATCAACTTTATCACCTAAGAATGTCATTGGCTTCCTTCCCTAAGTAACTCTATATTTTTAAACATTTTCTTTTTTAAAAAAGCTTTTAAATTACAGTGGAGTTTGAAAGTGGAACCCTCATACCAGCATGCAGGCCCATTTAGAACTTAGGGGGGAAAGTGCTCTATTTTGCAAAAACGGCATTTATTTGGAGTCCTCTCAGAAATTTCCTCCCCAGTGTAAATGATGGATTCTCAAAAGCAAGCATGTGCTCAGCCTGGCTGCCAAACACGGCTCAGCCTGCAGGGATCTGTTCACACACTCGGCAGCCGCGGTCGCAACACGCTCTGTATTCCTAACACTCGTTAATAACCCGTGAAGCAGCGCCTCAGACGTGATTGAAACTAGCTCTGTTTTTGTTTTTAGTAATTTCAGTTTATGAATGCTGACGTCAGTAGCTGCTGTCCCATTTGTCTTCCTGCTTTTACTGTCTCTGTAAAAGACTTTTTTTTTCCCCCCTTTCGGGCTTAAGTGCCACCTGAAGAGAGAAGCCTTTTAAGGCCTGGGAGACTGGCCAGTGCCCTTTGTCCTTCTGTTCACCTACTAAAAGGTAGCATTGTTAACCTAATTCAGCAGGGCCCTGGCTCAGTATAAACACTGCTCAATAGGGCCAGAAAGACTAATTGAATTGTACAATACATCATTTTTCAGCAACAGTTTCAAGTGGGTTGTACTTCATTTTCCAGGACACCATTCGTTTTTCCCTCGTTTAAGATATTTAAATATCGCAAATATTGAACTATGATCAATAAAATCTGTTTGAACCCAATTCTGTCTTTCCCCGCTGAGCTGTGAGCTACAGGAGGAAGGGCCCCACCTGGCTCATTCTCCACCACGTGCCTCGTGCTCACCACGGTGTCTGGCATCTCCCTGCGACTCTGCCTCAGAGCGAGGCATTGTTTAGTCCTGCCAACTGTTCTTTCCAGTCTGGTAAAACAGTCACAGGTTTTGGCAGATGCTAGGTGCGTCTTTGGAGCTGGAGTTACAGAGACTGTAAACTTCATTAATTTTAACTCTGCAGGACCCCAGAGGATTACACAGCACAGCAGGTACCTCCAAAATAATTGCTTTTAAGGGAAAAAATGATACTTTTAATAGGAAAAAAATTGACTCATATTTTGCATCTCTGTAAGGAGCATGAACTTTTATATGAGCTTTACACTAAAAGAAAATGATAATATTGAATTTCATAAACATCTGTTTTTAATCAACATGCAGTAGCCACACATTCAGTTATCACATGTGCATATTGATGGCTTTTCATGGCTGTGTCTGCTTGTTGTACTCCCCTCTGCCCCATCCTTGCCCACCAACTGAATTTCTGTTTCTAGACCTTGAGCCAATGTCACCTGTTTCGCCAGGCCTGCCTGGCTCCTAACCTCCCCTCCTCTCCCCCTTCCCCCATAGCACAGTTGATTTATCCCTCCTTTCAGTTACCTGTGGATCTCACCCATAGTGCTTTTGTGGTAGATGACAGGCTATGTGCTACATGTATATTTTGTTTTAAATATTTGTCTATTGTACTAAACAGTGAGTCCCTTGAAGGTAGGGACTGTGCCCTATTTAACTTCATTATTAAGCTTCTAACCTGGAGTGTGAAATATAGTGGGTTTCCATTTTCTTTTTCATAAGCAAAGTTGTTGGTTTTGTTTTTATGGTGAATTCCTGCCTTACTCCCAGTACTAGAGAGGTTCTGGAGGAAACTTGGTGAAGAGGTTTTACCTTTCATAAATAGAACTAAGCCAATTCTGTGTATCAGTAGTGAGTCCATGTCTCTGTGAATTAAAATGTACAGGCCCCCCAGATTTCCCACGTGTCATGCATTATTTAAATAACTCCCTCTCTCTCTTGGATGCATTATGTTTCTACTACTTATTTCTACTGATGACAGTGATATTTTATAGTCAACTTTCGTTGTTTACTACCAGAGGTAGATACAGAGTTGGATGAATATGCTAGAGGCAGCCCAAGTTCAAAGTTGTTCTAATAAGAAAAACTCCTTTCTGTTCACTAAAGTGTGTATTTGAGCCCTAACTGGTTTGGCCCAGTGGATAGAGCTTTGGCCCACAGACTAAAGGGTCCCAGGTTCGATTCCGGTCAAGGGCTTGTACCTTGGTTGTGGGCTCAATCCCCAGTAGGGGGCGTGCAGGAGGCAGCTGATCAATGTTTCTCGTTTCTAACTCTCTGTCCTTCCTCTCTGTAATACACACACAAACACACACACACATACACACAGATAAAGTGTGTGTTTGAGTCTGTTTTCTATGCATTGAAATTATTCTGCACATATTTGTTTTTCAAAACATTATTTCTTTGACTTTTGTAATATGTGCATAATTTACCTCTTTTTTTAAAAAGTGGTATAGAAGTGGACTGACTATTCTGGGGGGAGCGGGGGAAGAGGTGTCGGGGGTGCGGGAAAAAAAAGTGGTATAGGATACACCTACATACATACGCATATACATATATGTATTTTTAAAATCAGGGAGTCTTAATCTCCCCTCCCCCCCCTTTTTTTTACCTTTTTCTGGAAATAATTATAGAGTCACAGATAGTTAGTGCATAGATAGTACACAGTGGTCCTGTATCCCTTTCACCTAGTTTTCCCCATTGGTTACATCTTAAATAATTAAAGTATATTAAAAAAAACACCCAGAAAGCTGACCTTGGTGTATACTGGGTCTGTGTAGTTCTGTGTCATTATATCACGTGTGTAGATCCAGGTAATCAGGATACAGAATTAATGCATTCCTTTCAATGCCAAGGATACTTTTACCAGTTGAGTTTCTGGAAGAGAGAAGGAAGACAAACTTCATATTTAGTTTGGGCTTTTCACTTGGCTGGGATATTTAAGCTGTGGTTCGTAGTTTGAGGCGGCGTGGAAAGCCGGACGAGTCAGCAGAACTGATGGGGGACGTTGATTTTGTAGGTGTCGAAGCAGGCCAAGGAGTTTCTGGAGTACGTGTACGAAGAGCCCCTGATCGACATCCAGCAGGAGAACCCCATGCTGTACCTGCACGCCGAGCCGCTGGCCGCCGTGGTGCGGCTGCGGCAACGGCTCAAGTCGCTGCGAGCCTATTTGTTCAGCTGCCGGGCAGCCGTGGCCGAGGATCTGCGCCGCAGGTAAGAGTCATAAATGTCAGATGGCTCCAGTTTGTTTTTCTTTCCCGCCCTGGGAGGGTGGTGACATGATCTCTAAGGGCCTTTCCAGCCCAGACTGGCTGCAATCCTGTGGTTCTGCCTCTGGGCTCATCTTGGACATTTTCCTCTGAGGTCCTCTATCCGCCTGAGCCAAGCAAAATGGAAATAATACCTCAGCATAACTGCAGGCGTTGAACCCAAGGCCCGAGTTCCCAAGACGGTGAAGCCTTCTCTTACCTGTAGGTTAACTTGAGAGAATGATGGTGGCAGTGTCTCTCCATGGATCCCTTCTGTGGTGTTTCCCACTTTTCCCACTTTCAGTTCCTATTTGTCATCAGTAAAAATAAGCTTGTTTGAAATATTTCATAACTTAAACACAATTTTCAGTGGGAAATAAGTAGGTGGTTATGCAAATCTTATTTTCCACAGAGAGAGAAACTTGCTCAGTGATGCAGGCGGCAGGGCCAGGATGGAAATGCACAGGCCCAGATTCGGCCTTTTCATGCTCCCGTTGGTGCAGGCTTCCTACAGCTTGTTGTCTCCGAGTTCAGAGAACTCACAAGTCCATACCAGGCTCAGATCTCTAAATCAAATCGGAGTGAAAATGTGCTTGCTCTCATCAAATTCCTTCTTTTACAGTTAGATTTTATTGGCATTTAAATTTTCACTCTTGGCTTATACAGACTAGCTTATACTTGACATAATTGTTGATGGTGTTCATAAGTCCCTAAATATACCTTTTAATTTTTTTGTTTTAATAGAAATGACCAAAGCATATATTAGTCATGGGTTTTGGAGGTACGCCTATGTGCATAAGTACCTTTGGAAAGTATTAAAAGTGATATAGTTTGCTATTTGAGATCCAATTAGTATCCAAAGACACTGACATAACCCCAGGCATCTGAAGAAGACATTTTTAAAAGAACTAAATGTAGATAGTGAAGAATACATAATATGTAGACAAGCTCTCATAAAATAATAATGAAAAGGCAGCTGCCATAAAGCAAAATACCTCTCAGTGGTAGTCATTCTACAACCTAGTTTTTTAGAAAGCACTAGAAAATGGTCAGGATTTGTTCTTATAAAGTCCAGGCACATCTTAATTCTAAAACATCAGGGCCTTTCCTGAAAGGCAGTAGAATTATATGTCTCCAACCAATTTACCAACTAAACTGTATACAAGAATTTTAACATTCAAAGTATTTTCAGTACCTTTTGGCTTTCCTCAAAGCTTATTTTTCTTGAGCCTATATATTTAGGTAATATTAAAATCTGTACATGGGAATTATGTTAGATACCTTTCTGATATAGTTTTACTTTGGTTAAATATGCCAAATCAGGGCACACATTTAGAAATTAAATAGGAGATCCTCCCTCCATATGGATGACTAAGAATACCTATGCTGTTCCCACTGTCTGGTGGTTTACCACCCTGTACTGCACCCATGCCAGGCCACCAGGAAAGGAATGGAGGTTCTAGAGGGAAGGCATTCCCAACCAAGCCTGTGAGAATGAATACAGTAACTTTTTTCTTTCCCTTGATTTTTCTTTTCTGGACTCGTTCATGACCATTATGTAGTGCATGCCTGGCACAAGATAGGTGCTTACTAAGGATGGATAGGTGGAAGGAAAGAGGGAGAATGAATGGGTATTATGGTGCCACTTAGGACCACTGAACAGCGGCCAGTAGCCCGATTTTGAGGAAGGAGTCCTCTTCAGATTCTTCTCTTACTTACTCCCCTGTATGTTACTTAGCACAGCGCCTACCCATCCAGACCCCTTAAAAATAGTTGTTGAATAACATATCTAATCAGTCAAAAAGATGTATTTAGTTGGTTCTGTTTCTGGGATAAGTCTCAAATCTGTCCTCTCCAACTCACTTCCAGTACAGCACCTGCTTTAGTCTCAGGATACTGCAGTATCCTTCTGTCTAATCTATCAGTTTCTTCCCAGTCGAACCTTCGCACAAGACAAATTATTAAACAACAAGTATGGAATTCAGGATCTGCCCAAATCTGGTTCATTATATTGCTCTAAGATACTCTCTAATATCTTGCACTTCACACACAAATAATTAATTTTGTTATTGTAGTTTCTCTGTACTTATAGGCTTGAGGTTACCATGTCTTTTGAACCTGGCACAGAGTAAAACATATACCAGTAACAAGCATTCTTTTACAGCCTTTGGCGGGGGGAGAAGTATGGGGATTTGTCTTCTTGAATGACTTCAAATCATGTTTACTAATTTTGAAATATGACTATTTGGTGAAAGATGTCTAAGATTTTCTGGGCTGGGCCATACTTAATATCAATTCTGCCTACTTCAGTGTCTACAAAAATAGCCACAGATACAAAGGAGAACCATTGCCCACCTAATATGCTAATATCCTGTTGCCAGAGGTCATCTCTTACCTATCGTTCACTTTTCTATGGAATCTGACTTTTTCGAATAATTAGCTGGCAGTTCCTTTAGAGATGAGAAGCTTCCCGGAAAGCAATATCCAAGGTTCCTTTTGTGTCCCCTGGGGATACAAGAGTGGGAGAGTTTAAACAGTGAGGAGAACCTCTGGGCCCTACTGATTTTACACATCCTTGATAGAAATTAAAAGAGCAAAGAAAAATCCAGCTCTTATCTGGTCGTAAAAGGCATTCTCTCCTTGCCTGGTTTTTACCTCGGTAGAGGAGTAGCCATTAATCTCCAGCAAGTAGGCCCAACATGCTGAAGACTTGTCAGCACCATATAAACAGAATAAAGCAAACTGTTAATATTGCTGTCGTGAGAAAACTGAAAACAGACTGATTAATTGTATTGGTGCTCGCCCGCCAGGGAGCCAACTTTGGTCGTCGCCTTATTAGGGAAGTCACAGTTTGCTTTCAGGCCTTTCATTACGATGGCCGGCCAGTTTTCATCCTCACTGTTTTTGTTATTGTTGTTAAATGAATGCCTTGTTCTTGAACTCGTACTGCAAATCTTGACTGGCAGAGGTAATTAGTTAGAAAAAGTCAGTGTCTTCCATGAAGTCTAGAATGTTTACAGTGCTGACAGTTCCGTTTCTGAGGACACCCAGATGGCGACCCTGCTGGACTGGTTCAAGGCCTAGTTCACTTTTCATGAGAAGAGTTATTTACAGTGTCCACACGTGAAGGTGCATGAAGAACTGTGGAAAGTGGAAGCACTCTCAGGGAACATTTGGAGCAGCAGCCATGGGGGGAGTCTTTGGGAAGGCCCAGCCCTGAGTGTCCCACTGAACACAGGAGCAGTGGGATAAATGTGCACATCAAGTCACACAGGGCACCTCAGGGCCAAGTTTGGCCCTCAGACATGGCCTTTCAGGGATGCCCTCTATTGTTGAAATAGCTCAGCCGGCGTGGCTCAGTGGTTGAGTGTCGACCTATGAACCAGGAGGTCATGGTTTGATCCCTGGTCAGGGCACATGCCTGGGTTGCGGGCTCGATCCCAGTGTGGAGCGTGCAGGAGGCAGGCAATCAGTGATTCTCTCTCATCATTGATGTTCCGATCTCTTCCTCTCTGAAATCAATTAAAAAAAATATTTTTAAGTCATAAAAGCTTAAGCGACCATTATGACCAAATGATGGGACCAAC